TGCCTCCCCTCCATCCTCAGATGTTAGAATTTGGACAGCTGAAGCCCCAGGTGCTGCCCAGACAGAGGAAGCTATGCCCAGCCAGTGGCCTTCTCCACTCCAGGATGGCTGCAGACAGAAGCAGGGCCAAGGGCCTGGTTTCTCTTGAAAAGCCCCAGATCAAGGAAGGGCTGGGAGGGCGGGGGCTGGGGCAGGGACAGGGAAGGCGGAGGTGAAGTTCAGATGCAGACATCAGCATGCTCCAGCCTGAGGTCCCAGGGCGGGAATCTCGCCTGTGTCTGCACCAAAGTCAACTTCAGTTTTGCTAAGTGAGAGAACAGGCTCAGAGAGGTTAAGCACCTTGCCCAAGCCTGTCCCGGTAGCAAGCGATCAAATACAAAATGGTACCCCGTTCTGTCTGATTGTATCAGCATACCCCGTCCTCCCAAGGCCAGGGCCAAAGTCGGGCTGCCATGCAAAGGCCCCCTGGAGCTCCTCCTTCCTAAAGTCAGTGTGGCAGGTGGCAGGGGCCCACCATGCACTGTGATGGGCCACAGGAAGCTGGGTAGGGAGACACCCTTGCCCTTGCCCCCACTGCTCAAGTGGCCAAGGAAGGGCCAGGCCCTGCTCCTTTCCCTGCCCGAGGCCCCTCCCCACCCAGCAGACTGCTCTTCTTGCCCTGACTGGTTTCCCCTTCTACCGACTGTGCAAACTACATCCCTCATTCATTGACCCAGTCCCTACTGCACTCCAGGCACTGGACAAAGTGCTGGGGATACACAAAGAGACAAGTCACAATTCCAAGCTCACAGGTTCAGGGAAGGATGGTTGGAGTGACAGAGACAGACATGTAAATACAGTTACAACAGGACATGGTGCTGGAGGGCATAGAGTTGTGAAATGTCCAGTGAGACAGGGAGGCAGTGGGGCATCCAGCTACCTGCCAGGCAGGGAAGATGCCGCTGAGGAGCCATATTACAGCAGAACATTGAAGGGCAGTTAGGGGCTGGCTGGAGTGAGGTGGCAAATGGTCCTTTTGGCACCAGGACAGCAGATGCCAAAGCGTGGTGACTGGAAGGAGCCTGGAGTGAGCAGTGGAGGCTGATGGAGGGTCTTCGTGGGTGAGGTGAGAGGCTGGCAGGTGGGCTGGGCAAGACTAGGGAGGATTCTGCTCCTCCAGCTGAGGGACTGGAGCTCTATTGAGCCTGGGGCCTTTAGGGTTTTTAAGGAGGGAGTAGATGCCACTAGATTTGCTTTTGGAAAGGTCACTGTGGCAGTGTGGCAGTGTGAGGGGGTGAGGAGTGAAGAGTCAGGTGGTCTAATCCAAGGCACTGGCTTCAGGAAGGAGAGGCCTTGGTGCCCTGGAGGGATATTAAGGAAGGGAGGGAAGAATGAAGGATGCCTCCTAGATCAGGGGCCTGGGTGCTGGAGGCAAAGAGCAAAAAGTAGTTAACATATAAATGCCGGAAGTCCCTCAAAAGGCTGATGGACTTTGATATTCAGCAAGGGCTGAGAATCAGCATATTATCACCTGCTGCTGGCTGAATGGCTGAAGGCAATCCTCTAAGCACATAATCCTTTTATTGTTTACAAACCTTACCATTGATGTCTCTTTGCTTTGCTAAAGGTAAAATGTATATTCTAGTAAGTAAAATCTATGGGTCCAGAGATTCAGGAAGCCACTCCACTAGAGAGTAGGTTTTCGCCTCATTCCCCCATGCATTCTAAATTTATATTTCTTGTCTAGTCTATCCATTTATGCGCAGCCCCTTCACCAGATCCCGAAACCTCACTGCAAAAGGTTGTGGCACCTGGGTGCCTGGTGGATGGAGATAGGGAACCTTGGGTGGGCATGCAGGGGCCTATAGGTTGTCACTGCCTGCTCACAGCAACTAGCCTCTCTCTCAGACCCCTGTCCTTCCTGCTGACTGCTCAGCCTCCCAGGTTCTCCATGTTTAACTCATTTTTGCTTTCTGCTCCTTGGGCTCCAGTAGGTCACAAGTAGTCTGACCATTTTGCACCACAGGGACATCACCAGGGTCCTGTGAAAACAAAAGGTGCTATGGGGTGAAGAGAAGCTTTAATGAGCCAAGGAAGAACGGAAAGGCAGGGGCCGGACAAGAGGGAGGAAGCCAGCCAGGCAGGGACAGACAGAGTAGGCAAGAGGGAGAAAATATCAGAGATGAGGTCCAAAGATAGAGGAGCTCATATTTGCTGTGGGCCTCTGAGTGTGTTTCTCATCTTAGTGCCGGCTCTTTACTGGAGGCCTGAGCACAGCCTGTTTACAGTCTCTGAATTTTGCTCTGGGGCCTTCATGTTCATGAGATTTTGGGCAATAATGATTGGGCACCTGGATGACAAAGCCCATGAGGTGGGGCTAAGGGTCAAGGGCATGGCAGTGAGTGAAGGACACGCATGTCCCCCGGGGAAGGCTGCTGAAGGGAGTGAGCCATGTTTCCTTCTCTCAGGGGGAACCAGGAAGGCATCAGCCTGGGACTCGGTGGTGTTTGGCAAAATCTGGTTCCCAGCTTGGTTTGGCCTCTGTTCTATTCCCTGCAAAGTGCTGGGGATACAGAAAGGGACAAGTCAGTATTCCAAGCTTATGGTTTGGGGAAAGAGGAGGTGGAGTGACAGAGACAGACATGTAAGTACAGTTACAACTGGACGTGGTGCCTGGCGTGCAAAGAGCTGTAAAAAGTGCATCAGGTCAGGGAGGGGGTGGGGCATCCAGCAACCTGCCAGGCAGGGAAGATGCCCCTGAGGAGTCACATTGAAGCAGGGCATTGAAGGGCAGTTAGGGGCTGGCTGGGTGAGGTGGCAAAGGATACTTTGGGCACCAGGACAGCAGATGCAAAACCGTGGTGGCCAGAAGGAGCCTTCAGTGAGCAGTGGAGGCTGACTGAGGGTCTTCATGGGTGAGGTTGGAGGCCGGGAGGTGGGCTGGGCAAGACTGGGGAGGATTCTGCACATCCAGCTGGGGAGTTGGAGCTTTATTTGAGCCTGGGGCCTTTAAGAGATTTAAGCATGAAGAGAATGAGATAGGATTTGCTTATGGGAAGGTCACTGTGGCAGTAGGTGGGTGTGAGGGGAGAGAGGGGGGAGGGGAGGGTGGCCTGGACCAAGGCAGTGACTTCAGGAAGGAGAGGCGTTGGTGCACTGGAGGGACATTAAGGAAGGGAGGGAAGGACCAAGGATGTCTCCCAGGTCCCTGGCCTGGGTGCCTGGTGGATGGAGATAGGGAACCGTGGGTGGGCATGATGGGGCTTAGACACCCTGGCTGCCTGCTGGCTGGAAGTAGCCTCTCTCAGACCCCTGTCCTTCCTGCTGACTGCTCAGCTCCCAGGTGTCCATGTTCAACTCACTTTTGGTTTCTGCTCTTTGGAATCAGGTGAGCCACAGGGACTGGGGTTGGATTGCACCTCAGAGATCATCCTCTGGTCAGAGTCTACTCGGGTGTCCTGTTAAAACAAAAGGCGTCATGGAGTGAAGAGAAGCTTTAATGAGTCCAGGAAGAGTAGAAAGGCAGGGGCCAGGCAGGTATGGACAGAGTAGGTGAGACGGAGAGAATGAGAGATGGGAACAAAGAGAGAGGAGCTCATATTTGCTGTGCGCCTACAGTGTGCCTTTCCCATCTCAGGAGCACACTCAAATCATCCTGATCTGTTTCACCTCCACACCACCGGTGAAGGAGATGGTGTCGATGCGGTGGAGGGGCACGCGGAATTTGTACTTCGTAAAGTCCTTTCCATTCACCACCACCTGTCAACAAGAGTGCATATTTCAGGGGATGGGTCCCAGACCAGGGCGGAGCACACCTGAGCACTAGGACCCCGGCTTCTAGAAATTAAGGCCTGTCTGGTTTTCACCTCCATCCCCTGTAGGTGGGGCCCAGCCTTCAGAGCTGCTCCAGGGACAGGAACACACATGTGATCCAAAGTGCAGCCAAACCCAGTCACCACTTAGCGCTAGTTTTGGCTTCTGAGTTCTTGCTTGTTTATTCTCTAGGTTTGTCTTTCTCAGCTCACCTGGGATGCCATTTCAATATGCCCATTTAAATGCCTAAAGTTCTCATGGGAGCAGAGGAGAGTGGACCTCAGGTTGTGCACTGAGGGCCTGGGAGCATCCCGTTCGCACACAGAAGAACAGACACAGCCATCCCTCTCCCCGGGCCCAGCAGCCCTGCTCTGCCTGCAAGAGCAATGACCACACCATGCAGCCCTGAGCCGCCCCTGGGCCTGCAGAAGGGAGTGAGCATTGGACATGTAATACTGGTCATTTCCAGCATTGAACATGACCACAGCATTGAGATGACCACAGCATCACCGAAAACAAATGCTGTCAATGTGATTCCCAGGCTGGGTTCTTTCTGGGACCACATTGCCTCCTAACAAGGCTGGGAGTACAGAGTGAAAGATAAGAGGGGAGGGAGTCAGGCTGAGGCAGGTGCTCTGGACAGAGACAGTGACACAGGAAGAGCGGGATGGGGGAGCCAAAGGTGTGTCCCTAGAGTCACCCGAGTGAGAGATTGGCTGGAACTTTTGGACCCACCCAGCAGGCCTAGGCATAGCTAGTGTTGCCCGTGCACCCAGACGGTGGGACAAGTGCCAGATGGACAATCTAACCTCCATCCTGATCTGTTTCACCTCCACACCACCGGTGAAGGAGATGGTGTCGATGCGGTGGAGGGGCACGCGGAATTTGTACTTCGTAAAGTCCTTTCCATTCACCACCACCTGTCAACAAGAGTGCATATTTCAGGGGATGGGTCCCAGACCAGGGCGGAGCACACCTGAGCACTAGGACCCCGGCTTCTAGAAATTAAGGCCTGTCTGGTTTTCACCTCCATCCCCTGTAGGTGGGGCCCAGCCTTCAGAGCTGCTCCAGGTACAGGAACACACATGTGATCCAAAGTGCAGCCAAACCCAGTCACCACTTAGCGCTAGTTTTGGCTTCTGAGTTCTTGCTTGTTTATTCTCTAGGTTTGTCTTTCTCAGCTCACCTGGGATGCCATTTCAATATGCCCATTTAAATGCCTAAAGTTCTCATGGGAGCAGAGGAGAGTGGACCTCAGGTTGTGCACTGAGGGCCTGGGAGCATCCCGTTCGCACACAGAAGAACAGACACAGCCATCCCTCTCCCCGGGCCCAGCAGCCCTGCTCTGCCTGCAAGAGCAATGACCACACCATGCAGCCCTGAGCCGCCCCTGGGCCTGCAGAAGGGAGTGAGCATTGGACATGTAATACTGGTCATTTCCAGCATTGAACATGACCACAGCATTGAGATGACCACAGCATCACCGAAAACAAATGCTGTCAAGGACCTGGAGCGGACAAGGCTGCAGCAGAGGATGGAAGTCACCTGGAACCCGAGGCCAAAGAGCAGGTGGGGACTTACCTAGCTCTTACTTCCTGGTAACAGAAGCAACAGGTGATATAATAGGTACAGGTGAAGGTGTGTAAGGTCCTGTTTTCTGTAAATAATGGCATTGCCTGGGTAATTATTAAAGGCGTTTCTCCAGGCCCGATAGGGCAGGGGGATGGGCAGCAAGAGGGAGGGAGGAGAATCCTGCTCACCTGGAATCCAGAGCTCTGCACCAGGAAGCTGATCTCAAAAGGAATTCCCATCTGGAAGGGATTTGTCATCATCCTATCCTCCTTCTCCCACTGTCCTTTCTGCCTGGTGTTACAGACCACATACCCACCGTCTTCAAACCGAGGGTTGAAGTGGAAGGCAATGTCATTGTCACTGGAGCCCGTCTTAAAGTTCACAGCAAACCTAGGTGGACGGAAATCAGACAGCGTTCTGGTTTATTCCCAATGGTAGGAGCAGGAGGGCCCGGGGCCTCTGCTTTCCATGTGTGTCTGGGAACTTGCATACAACCTGTGTGGCTGGTGGCACCCATCCCACTGTGCTGCCTTCCTTTGTGTTTACCTAATTTGTGCTTAGTGTGTTTTGTATAATTACTGCATTTTTCCCTTTCCAGCGTGACTTTCCAGAAATAAGCAGGAACTGGGTAAAGAACAATGTGGACTCGAGCCTCAGGAAGCCTGGGTCTAGCAGGGGAGGCATGGAATGAATAGTGGCTCCCCAGGCAGGAGAACTTCCGGGATGTGTGTCTGTCCCTCATCGGAGGTTGGTGTGTGTCCCACCCTGAACCCCGCTCATATGTTAGTTATTGGGGTGACCGTGAAACACACTACCTGGTGTCAATGCACCCAGGGCGGGGCTGACTCCCTTCCATTGGGGATGATTAATGAGGTGTTCAGGAAACCTCCACAAAAGTAAATTTTCATTCCTTCCTCAGAAGGAAGCCCTCGCCTTCAAAACTTCCTTTGGGGATCGCTATGGCTCTAAGGTGAGGAATTAGAACAAAAGAACCTTCCCAGGAGCCAGGCTCACAAAAGGGGCACAATACATGTTTGTTCTGCCCTTTCCCAGGCACATGTCCTAAAACCAGTCCAATCTGAGCAGTTACTGTCTTCTCCAATCCTTCCCTGAACTCAGCAGGAGCATGGTTCATAGCCTGCATCTTGGGGTCATTCTGGTGAGTCCAATCTGAGGAGTCACTGTCTACTCCAATCCTTCCCTGAACTCAGCAGGAGCATGGTTCATAGCCTGCATCTTGGGGTCCTTCTGGTGTCCCCAACTAATGCAAAGCACTCAGGTAACCCCCCAACCCGCCTATGTGTCTTCTGCACCCCCCACAGGGCTAAGGTCTGAACCAAGCCCAGAGGTGGCCCTAGATAGACATTCTATTCAATTCCTGCAGAGCCCCACCCAAATCAGGCAAGAGCCCTACACCTCCACACCACCTGGGCCTCAGCAGAAGGCAGCCAGGGCTGCTGGAGTATTACAGGGCTCTTGTACATCTGGGGAGATGTACAATCTCTTCCCCTACAGTCCCCTCTTGGGTGGGAAACAGTGCTGAGAAGATGTTTGTATTTTGAAATGACTTAGTATTTTCCAGGAAGGAACTTGAAACAGGAAGAGATCAAATTACATTTGAGCCCTAGCCAGTTTGGCTCAATGGATAAAGTGTTGGCCTAGAGACTGAAGGCTCCTGGTTTGGGTTCGAGTCAAGGACACATGCCTGGGTTGTGGGCTCAGTCCTGGGTAGGGGGCATGCAGGAGGCAGCAGATTAATGATTCTCATCATTGATGTTTCTGTCTCTCTCTCTCTCTTCTCTCCCTTCCCCCTCTGAAATCAATGCAAATAAATATATTTTAAAAAAATTACATTTGATGGCAAATTTAAGCATTTTAAATACAACCAAGATTACCTTACGCAGCAAAGCTATCATTTAGAATTGAAGATCAGAATAAGAGCTTCACAGATAAGAAAATGCTAAAGGAGTTCATCACCAACAAACCAGTATTACATGAAATGTTGAAGGGTATTCTTTAAGAAGAGAAAAAAAAAATAATGTGAACCATAAAATGGCAATAAATACATATCCACCAAAAAATTGAATCTAAAAATCAAAATAAATGACAAAAAATCTAATGAACAAAATAAACTGATGAATAAAATAGAATCAGAGGCATGGAAACATGAAATGAACTGATGAATCTCAGAGAAGGATCAGGAAGAGATTAGCCAAAGACCTTATATGCATATATGCATTAACTATGGACACAAACAATAGCGTGGTGAAGGTTTGGGGCAGGGTGGGAACTGGGTAGAGGGTGGCAATAGAGGGGGGAAAAGAGGAACATCTGTAATACTCTCCACAATAAAGATTTTTTAATACACAAATGGGACTACATAAAAATAAAAAGCTTCTGTACAGCAAAAGAAATCATCAACAAACAACAAGACAGCCCACTGCATGGGAGAACATATTTGCCAATGTTATATCCGATAAGGGTTTAATCTCCAAAATTTATAGGGAACTCATACAACTTAACAAAAGGAAGAGAAGCAATCTAATCAAAAAATGGGCAAAGGACCTAAATAGACACTTTTTGAAAGTGGACATACTAGTACAGAAGGCCAAGAGACATATGAAAACATGCTCAAAGTCACTAATCATCAGGAAGATGCAAATCAAAATGACAATGAGGTACCAACTCACACCTGTCAGAATGGCTATCAACAAATCAACAAACAACAAGTGCTGGTGAGGATGTGGAGAAAAAGAACCCTTGTGTCCTGCTGGTGGAAATGCAAACTGGTGCAACCACTGTGGAAAACAGTATAGACTTTCCTCAAAACATTAAAAATGGAACTCCCATTTGACCCAGTAATCTCCCACTTCTAGAAATATATCCCAAGAAACTAGAAACACCAATCAGAAAGGATATATGCACCCCTATGTTCATAGCAGCATAATTTACAATAGCTAAGATTTGGAAACAGCCTAAGTTCCCATCAGCAGATGAGTGGATTAGAAAACGGTGTACATCTACACAATGGAATACTACGCTGCTGTAAAAAAGAAAGAACTCTTACCATTTGCAAAAGCATGGATGTACCTGGAGAGCATTAAGCTAAGCAAAATAAGCCAATCAGAGAAAGAAAAATATCACATGATCTCACTCATTTGTGGAATATAAGGAACAACATAAATTGATGAACAAAAATAGATCCAGAGACATAGAAGCATCAAACAGACCATCAAACCTCAGAGGGAACACATGGGAGGAAGGGGGAGGGGCGTAAGAGATCAACCAAAGGACTTGTATGTGCGCTGATAAGCATAACCAATGGACACAGACAGTAGGGGGATGAGGGCATGGGCAGGGGGATGGGGGCGGTAGGGAGAGGTCAGGGGGGAAAAAGGAGACATGTGTAATACTGTAAACAATAAAGATTTTAAATTAAAAAAAATATAGAGATAAAAAAAGATTTCCACATCAGTCAAATGAGGGATTCAACGTGAATGAAGGCCGTTATGGGAAATAAAGGAGGCATCATTTTTGCATCTCTGAGTCTTCCTGTGTAAAATTCAATCCTCGCCCATGATCTGTCCCAGGGCTGGCCTTAGACTATGAGCTCCCTGTGTCTATGGGGAATCTCTGTTCATGGTGTCCACATTCTACTGGCAGAGGGCAGGGGTACCATGCAGTGTTGGCAGGGGCCAGGCCCTACACATCCAGCATCCCCTGAGCCAGGCACAGGCGGCTTGGAGAGTGTCAGGTGAACCACCCTGAGCAGACAGTTGACATGGTTTGCTAAGGGTCAAGGCTGGAGAGAAACACTTCCAGGTACCTGGTTCCATAGGACGGAAGAAACATCCCTTTGACAGTGACCTGATGTCCATCCTTGAGGGTGTACCGGTCACCCCCTTGTGTGTGCCTAGAGAAGGGGACGACCTGCAGGGAGAAGAAGGAAGTCAGTTAGGGTCCTGCTCCTTCTGTCCAATCCCTCTGGCACTTGCTAGTGGCCGGCCTGGTGTGTCGGGCAACATGTCAGGGGCCGGATTCAGCTATAAATTGGACATATGGAGTCTCAGTCTTATGGAACTTCCCACCTGTGAGGAATCCGACTTGGATCCGCGGAGTTACACGTTCATTCTGAGACTGATAAGGAGACCGCTGGACTCTGAGACAATGTAACCCAGAGCTGGCCTCTCCTAAGGGGAAGTAGCAGCTTTCAAGAGGAGGAAGTAGCATGTACATGGCCCCAAGAGGGGAAGGAACCAGGGTAGTGAGAGGGGCTCTTAGCAAAGGACCAGGGCCCTGGTTGAAAACTCAGAAACCCAAGGGACCAAAGAGCCAGCAGCCTATTCTAAAGGATAAACCTTCTGCTCCCTGAGAAGGCCAAGAAGAAGGCATCCTCCTGCCCACCCCGCCACAGAACGGTGTGACCATGACCTTTGCCCTCCCAGCCACCTCAGGTAGTACCTGGATGCTCTGTATCCTCTCCTGCTCCTGCTGCCAGTCCCTCCCAGGCCCTGGCAACCTCCGAGGCCCTAGTGAAGTGTCTGCACTCCTCCTCGGCCCCATAGAGCCCGTTTTGTCAAATGCCCTTCCCGGGCCACTTGAAAGGACAATGGTTATGGTGAGTTTTGCATGGTTTTAGAGCCAGGCATCATCAGGTTTGGAGCCTAATTCTGCTGCTCATTTCCTGGGTGACCTCAGGGAGCTTATGTCACCTCTTTTGCCTCAGTTTCCTCATCTGTAACATAGGGATACATCTTACCTTCTGCGTAAGATCAATGAGTTAGTGAGAAAAGGGCTGGGGAAGAGATTGGCACATAGTAGGTGTCTCTAACACCCCCTTCCCTCTTAGTCTCTCTTAGTAAAATTCCAAAATTGGTTTCTTCATGACTTTTAAGGTAACTTCCAGGATGCCTTTTATCTGATGTGATCTTAACTTGCATTAACCAAAAAATAACTTCTAGCTCCTAGTCAATCTTCAGATTTTTTAAGTAGTTAACGTCTTCTCTTACTTCTCTTATAAGCCAACACCCTACAGAACTGAAATGCTTATAGGAGCCAGGCAGGTGATGTGTAGGAGGGAGATTGTCAGGTAGGGGCAATAGGGAGTGGCAGAGACTATGACAAAGTAGACGCCATCTCTCTCATCTAAAGGGACAACATCCTCTCACCTCTAACCTGGACGAATTAATTAATTTAGATGGATTAACCCCTCTGTGGGTCAGAGCTTGCTCTCAGCCCCTGGCCAGGCCTGGAGGCTGAGGACAATTTCTTCCTCTTCCTCTTTGGAGGTGCAGTGTCCCCAGCGGGCACTCACCCACAGCTGGCACAGGGGGCTCACTGCAGGGCCAGTGGGAGCCTTCCAGGCAAAGAGGCAGCTGCCCCAAGCGTTCTGAGGTGCTTCTGGGCCCATTTCCCTGGCTGTTCCTAGTTGTCCTGGCAACAGCCCTGGCCATTATCAGGGCCACCCCTACAGATGAGGAGACTGAGCACAGAAGGTCTGGTAACTTGCCCAAAGCCACCCAGCTGGTCAGTAATAGGGTGGGGTTGGGTCCCAGCACCCATGCTGTGAAGCCCCACACAGGCTGCTTCTCA